ATGAGATAAACATCAATAAGGACAGCCATATGTCAATAAGACTAAGGAACACCCATACGCCCATACCCCGAAGAAGACACCGGACAACAGACATAATATGACAGTTTTTGCGTCAAGCAACACCATTTTGCTTAGGGGTCCGAGGACAAGTAAGTTGTTGAAGAATACCGGTTTGATTAAGATGGGAATGAAATGCATTGGAAATATATTCCCCACCATTATCACAACGGATAGTCCTAACAACTATATGAAACTGAGTTTTAACCATCTGTAAAAATTGGACAAAAATGGGAAAGACGTCAAACTTATAACGAATTAGATAAATCCAAGTGCACCTAGTGTGATCATCAATAAAAGTCATATAATATCTATGACCAAAAAAAGCAGTGACGGGGGAAAAGCCCAGACATCATAATGTATAAGATCAAAAGCACTAGGAGCACGAGTCATATAAAGGATATAACTAGTACGGGTATGCTTAGACAACTCATAAACCACATGAAACTTAGAATTTGCAAGCTTTATTAAATGAAGAAAAAAGTGAACATAAATACTAAAAATTAACATAGCCCATATGAGTGTGCCATAATTCTAAAGTTTGAATATTAAAAACACAAGACATGGAAGCAGTCAAAACAGAGACCTGAAAACTAACTTAGGAAGAAGAGGTAGGCTCGTTCGGTGGATCCTCAAAGTAGTAAAGCCCATCACGCTCATAGCCCTGGCCAAAAATCCTCGTCGAACTCAAGTCCTATAAAAGGCAAGAGGAGGGTAAGAAGATAGCACAATTAAATTGTTTGCCAGGACAACTAACGAATAAGAGATTATATGCAAAATTTGGAACGTGTAAAACAGATGATAAAGTAATGGTAGGGGATAAAGACACTACACCCTTATGACGAACAGAGGATAATGAACCATCAGCAAGACACAAATTGGGCAATAGTAGTAGGGACTAGCAAAGAAAGAAAGGAAAACTCACCCATCATATGATCATTAGCCCTAAAATCCAGAACCCATGAGAGACTAGCAAACCGAACATGGAAAGTAGTAGGAATACCTATTGCAAGGGTGGCAGCAGTGGTAAATGATGGGCCAGGAAAACTGGCAGTAAGAGATCCAAGCTGAACCTGAAGCTGACCAATCTGAGTCTATAGCTCTTGTAAATTAGTGAGATGAGGAGACCCTGGAGCAGGAGTAGCGGAATCCACTAGAGCCACAGTGTAAGGGGTGCCAGCACCACAAGGGCAAGAGGAATGTTGTCTCAACTCATGATGAAATTTGAAGCAACGAGCCTTAACATGACCAGAAACGCCACAATGATGACAAGTAACTGGACTAGTAGAACCCCGAGAACTAGACTTTGCAACAAGAGCCATCTGATCAGATGAAACTGGAGACAGAGGAGAAGGATTCGGCTGAACCAGACGCCTACAACGCTCATCACTATTAATGGTGGCAAAGGCCCCATAGAGAGATGGCATAGGTGATGTGTTTAAAATCTGAGTTCAGAGAGATTCAAACTCAGAGTTTAAACCCATCAGAAACTGGTAAGTATGCTAGCGAGCAAGGCATTTGGACACAAGAGAGGCAGCATCTGCTAGTAACTTGGTCAAGGGCTCATATTGAGCCAATTCTTCTCAACGAGCCTGAAGATATCCAAAGAATTCTGACACAAAAAGACCCAAGGCAGACTACGAAGAACAAGCAATATCCTAATAAAGCTCAAAGATGCGAGCATTGTTATGAGCATGAGCATACATCTATGACAAGGCATGCCATAAATCAGGAACTGTGTCGCAATAGGGAAACATGTGATAAATACGATCTTCTATAGAGTTGAACATCTATCCCAAAATAGTACAATTATCAATATCCCACATTGCACGGGTAGAATTTGTTGCAGCAGGTTGAGTAATGGAAGATAAAAGCCAATGAGCTTTTCCCTTGCCCCCTAAATAGAGTTTTAAGGGAGTGGCTCCAGGCGGCAAAATTTTTCTCATTCAACACCACACTCGTAATACGAGGAATAGGGGTGTGATGAGAAAGAGAAAAATCAGAACTAATTGGGACAAGCTTGGTAGGTATATCAACAAAGGATGGATCAATTATGGTGGGAAAAGAGGGGCTAAAAAACACACAAAGATAGCAACACAGTCCAAGAAAAAATAAGAAGCTAGAAAAAACTCAACGGCTTATTCAAATAGATGCTACCGAATAAATCCGGTAGCCCAAAAGAATAAAAGGGCAGACAAAGGGACTTAATACATCAGTCCAATCACGCAAGAAAGGGACAAAAACAGCGATGGACAACCCAAAGAGGCAGCCGAAGCACGTAAGACCAGAACCAAGTTTGGTCAGTAGCAACCAGAGCCTTGGCAAGGATAAAGAAGGTCTGGCGAGCTGAAGACAAGGAAAGGGGCTGCAAAGGATGGGTTAATGCTGGGCTAAGGTTGTCGGAGGCTAGAGAGAAGTGATGGGTGGTTGAGAGAGAGATGGCTAGGGAGGCTCTGATACCAAAAAGAATGGAAAGAATTATTTGGCTTACCGATCAATGAGGTAGAGACCATGTATATATAATATATTTATGATACAATTTAGAAAACAATATACACAAGGTAAGATTTTTACAATCAAAATAATTCATATTCTAATTTCCATATTCAAACATAATATTTTGATTTCTATATTCAACACACACCAACAACCAATCTTTAGCTAACAAAAACAGTGGAATCCCCTTAAAGAGAGGAGTCACCGAAGCCCAAAATAAAGTTAAGTGACAAACTTTTTCCCACAAAAAAAACCACATCCCAAGATTTATCTTCAAAAACACACGCATTTCTTTCCAATAATAAAACACAAAAAGTTGCAAAGACGGCACAATACCAAAGCACTTTGGTCCTCTTTGATCCTCCTAAAGCGCGAAAGTCAATTAATAGCATGTGCCCACCACCTTTTGGGGACACCCACATAACATTTTTCAAAACAAACAATTTGTACCATAAGTTCAAAGTAACTGGACAATGCAAAAATAAGTGATCCAAGAATTCACCATCCTTACAACACATAATGCACCATTGAGGATTTAGAAATTGATTAGGTCTCCTTTTTTTGTAGTGTATCATTTGTCAAAATGCCTCCATGAACCAAGGACCACATGAACACCTTCACCTTAAAAGGAACACAAGTGTTCCAAATTCTTTTACAAAAAGGAAACTAAGACACTTGAGGATTATCAATGATTTTGTCAAAAAAAGACTTGCAAGAAAAGATATCCGATGAATGAAAAGCCCAAACCCTCTTATCCTCCAAAAGAAGAACTAAAGAAAAAAAGTCATGTCTTGACAAAAAAGATGTCAACTCTACTATCTCCATATCATTGAGATTTCTAGAAAAATTAAAATTCCAAGAAATTGGAGCCAAAAATGAAGAAGCCATGGAAGCAATAGAACAATTGTGAGACCGGGCCATTCTATATAAATGTGGAAATCTAAGGCAAAAGAAGAGGATCCCACCCAAACATCCTCCCAGAATCAAACAAGCTCCCCATTAGCTACCCTCACTGAAAGATAACGAGACCAAAGTGGATAAATGTGATAAATTAACTTCCAAGGAGCACGACAAGTACCCCTCATAACCATCTATGAATCTCTACCATTATCATAAATCTCATACTTTGCTTCTAATAACAGAATGTCAAAGTGAATCACTCTCAGTTGGAAATCTCCACAACCACTTGCCAAATAAGGCCAGGTTCCTAGTCGAAATATTACCAATAGCCAAACCCCCCTTCTCCTTTGGTGACAAACATAATTATTACCACTCTCAATAGATCAACTAATTATTTTATGGTGACAAACCTAGGGAATAAAGATGTGAATGGAAGGTGGTGAGATTGTCAGTGGGATAGCCCTCTAGAAAGATGGTAGACACAACGAGGGCATGGATCACTGAAGATGGAGGAGGAGAGTAGGGACAGCTTTAGAGAGTAAGGTGGTAGATTCTTCCTGTCTTCATGCATGGAGAAGGTCTCCTCATGTAGGCTGGCAACCATGGGGGAAAACTCAACCTCATCAACCCCCTTGGTTCGACAATTTGAAGGTCTCTCAACTACCACTACCTAATTCTTGCCCATGTTTATAATCTTGACAATGTGTCTAAAATAGCACAAAGGAAACCAATAAGACCAAATTGAGAACCCAGCTTAGTTTGTTCTAAATTTTCCAGAATGCATACCCCAGTAAAAGACTAGTATGCATACCTCAGTAAACTACTGGCACATAAAATCACTGCAAAATGCAAGGACTAAAATAACTAAAACATTCTAGAATTTTAGCTTAAATTACTCTTCAATATTAAGAAAGTTAAAGATTAAATTGTACTATTTCATAATTGAATTTGAAAATCACATGAAATTGCTCAAACATGACTAGTATGCAAACCTCAGTAAGCTACTGGCATACACAAGGACTGCAGAATCCAAGAACTAAAATAACTCAAACATTCTAGAATTTTAGCTTAAATTACTCTTCAATATTCAGAACTTAATAAGCAAGTTAAAGATTAAATTGTACTATTTCATAAGTGAACTTGAAAAGCACATGAAATTGCTCAAAGGTGACTTTTATGTATACAGACATACGTTATGTATGACAATCAATTCTAGTTATTAAATATTAATATAAGCCCTTGCTAAAAATCAACAATCGTAAAGTATGGTAACAATGTCTTAGTGCTTCTTCGATGCATTTGCTAAGATTATCACATGAAACCAACTGTTTAAAAAAATTAAATAGATGCAATTAATAAATGAATGGTCCATCATAATGTCCCAGACAATAAACAGCAATCTGTGACATACCAAACCAAACCAAGCCTTAAACAGCAATCTATGACATGAGTATTATAAATTAAATTTGTTTCAATTTGGGTAACCATCGCCATGTGTGAGAATATAATGGACCTATTATTACATCAGATTAAAGTAAGAGCTGTACCTCCCCATCAGAACCTCTTATAGTGACACGATATACAACAGTGACACTTCCATTGTCAGAGAAAATAACATCACGTACTTCTCCACACCAACCTGGAACAAAAAATCTAAACATCAGAAGAATCTGAATATTTGTCATGATTATAATTGTGACAACCTAGGTGTCAAATTTCCATGATCACAATTATGAGAACTCTTGTCAACTTATTTAGGGTACAAAAATTGTAAGGAAAATAAAGAATCAATTACAAATTGCAGAATGGAAGCTACGGAGACTACATGGCAGTAATATAACCCTATTAAGGTTCAACTACTGTAACATCTCCCCTTAAATTAAAAAGGGAGATGATGATGATGATGACAAATTGACCAACCGCTAGAGGACTCAAAGGAGTGAACAGACAATACCATATCAAATGGATACATAGAACTCAATATTAACTGATTTTTACATGCAAAACAATATCTAATGTAAATATGAAAGATGTTAAGATGGGATAGAATGAGACCAAATACATTTTATGAATTCAAAATAAAATAAAATTAGAACAGTCATTACCACAAGTTGGTAATTTGGGGGATCAAATCATATTAGAACAACAGGAATGAATGTGAAATGTGAAAATTTCGGATTAAGCTTTTTTATTTTTTTTTACTAGTGTGACCTACACACTGGGACTTGCAACATTACTAGAAATGCACATCTACTCTCCTCACTAGAAATAAAGATGCCGGAAGTATAAGCTAAACTGAAAAACAAGAAAAGATATACAAATCCATAATTCCATATACAATGATTGCATTCCCAATAATGCCAATGTGCTCTTACAGTGTGCAAAACAATTTCAAACCAATTACAAGCCTGACAATCAATCTATGAAAAAAAATAGGCCCAATCACTGGTCTTCTATTCTCCTACTCTGGGATTTGAAAACATTAATTGAACTTATATTTATTACATAACAGTCTAACACTGGCCCACTTCAGCAAGAGCTGTCCGAAGATCAGTCACACAACCAGGTTCCCTAGTTTTTTTACTTTTGTCAATCTATAAGACATAAATTACAAATATCATAAGACACCAAACTGGACATGTTCTTCTCCACATTCTCACTGGGTGATCCAGGAATTTGTCTCTGATTTTTTCAACTGCTATTTCGATATAGGAAGATCTCCTTATTTCTTCACAACGTGTTCTTGCGTCATTTTCTAGAAATGTTAACTACTCAATATTCACACAAAGCAATTAGCATTTCCATATTTGAAAGTGCCATTGACTAGGAATATTTCTTGAAACTCAAGTAATTTGCTCATTAAAAGTTGTGCTTACCAAGGATGCAGTCATTGTTGCACTGTGCGTATAAATGGAAGAAAATTGCGGGAAGCTTATGACAGTAGAGGAAACAGACAACCTCCGACGGAGTAAGAAGAAGGTTAAACGTCAACACAGGGTGGGTATAGATGTTAGTGAAGATGAACCGGGGGATATGGTGGAAGACCGATCTGAACCTATGGAGGAAGTGGACGTAGCTACTGGAAGGCCCTCGTTTAGAGATGCTCTAGTGGATTTGGATGCAGATTGGTATAAAGGCTATAATGCAGAAGACAACATGGAGGATAGGGATGATAATTGTGAGCAAACGAGTCTGGAGAGAGCCCAAATGGTCGCGTCTAGAGATAGAGAAAAAAGAACTCCAGCGCTTGAGGGCACCATGGAAAGGAGCTCTTCTAGTAAAATTACTTGGCAGAATGGTGGGATATCAGGTGTTGTACCAACGGATGCAACATGTATTGAGATTGCAGGAGAAGTTTGAAGCAGTAGGGTTGGGTGAAGGATATTATTTAATACAATTCTCTTCCAAAAACAATTATAGGCATGTGTTGTTTGATGGTCTGTGGGTATTTTAGGACATTACCTTATTGTGCGAAAATGGTGTCCTAATTTTAACCAGTGAAAGATGAGTTGCCTACTACAATGTTATGGGTTAGATTCCCTGGATTGCCAATTGAACATTTTGATGTAGAGTTGCTCCTATGACTAGATAATTTGGTAGGAATGTCTGTCAAACCGAACAAGATGTCAGAGATGAAGGCGCGTAGGGAATATGCTAGGATCTGTGTTCAAATCGACTTGATGAAACACTTGGTTCCTAAGGTTTGGATTAACTCCTCCCCTTACATAGTAGAATATGAGGGATTACATTCCATTTGTTTTCATTGTGGGAAGTATGGACACAAGGAGGAATGTTCGGAGCTTTATCCAGTGACGTCTCAATCGAGGGTAGGGCAACAAAATTTCTCAGATCAACCAGGTGAGGAAGATGATGGTCTACAAAAATCAAGGCAACCCGAATTTGGCCTATGGATGTTAGCCAAACAACGTGTGCATCCTACACAGAGTACCATTCGAGGTGAACAACAAAATAATAGGTCCACAAATGATAATATGACTGATAGTGGAATGAATAATGGGCATAAAAGAGAAAGAACGTTGAGAATCATTTTGCTAGTGTTGGATCCAAATTTGGGGTTCTTAATGATAAGAGCAATGACCAAGCGATAGAGGAACCTCTTGGTAATGTATCCACACGTACTAATCAAGGTCATGGTGTAATAAATTTTGCGACCACACATTCGGGGGGTCCACACTGAGAAATGCAGGTAATGCATAGGGGTATAAGAGTGATCGACATGTGGTGAAAAGTAGCCCAATAAATAGAAATTCGAATAAAAAAGATATCATAGTGCAAGGCCCTAGATCTGGATTAGACTAACCACTTCTCTGTTCTCTTTTTCCAATACCAAAGATGTCTATGAGACTCCCCATAATCCATCTAGACCTTTATTGCTTGTCGAGTTTCCCCCATTAAAATAAACTCAATTTAGTATGGGGGGCCATGAGGGACAAACCGACAGACCTTCCATATCCTCCCCACCTCTTAGTTCTCTTTTACTGAAAAGCTTCTATAAAGGAAATTCCGACCAACCACTTGATGAATCAATCGTTACTAGACATCTGAATATACATGATCGACAGGATAAGCATGAAATGGAAGGAATGGAGAGTTTTTCCTCCAATCCTAATTGGGAATTCAAGATATTGAAGGCTATGAGGGCGATGCAAATGATTCAGAGAACAAGGTTGACACTGAGTGTTTAGCCATGAATATAGGTAACTAGCTGACTTTCTCGGCTCAATACATATTAATTTCCAATGAAGATTATGGTATGGAATTGTCATGAAAGGACACGATTTTTTGCGTACAATTTGTGAGTTGGTGAGAGGTCACAATCCTCTGGATCTTGATTTTGTTGGAAACAAAAGTTTCAAGTTGTTGTGCTGATCAAGTTATGGGTCGAACTGGGTTTAACAACATGACAAAAATTGAGGCAATTGGGTTTTCTGGCAGCATTTGGATGTTCTAGAGAGAGAAGTTAGTTGAGGTGGATGTTCTACCCCCTATGTCACAAGCACTTAGTGTGGTTAGTAAAAGAAAGAATGAGGTTGATTGGTTATTCACAACTACATATGCCTTCCCAAGTCTAGCATCCCGTGGAGAATTTTGGGAGTGTCTTACCAATCTGGCACAAGTTTTATCCCTCCCATGATTAGTGGCAAGGGATTGGCTACCGGTAATGAGAAACCATAGGGTGTTCCTGTGCAAAGAAGACAATGTGCAAAGTTTGTAAATTGTCTTAATGATTGTAAACTTATTGATATGGGATGTACTGGGCCCTGTTACACATGGATTAATTCAAGGAATGGCACACACAACATTAAAGAACGTCTAGATCGAGCATCGTGTAACTCGGAGTGGCGCACTCTTTTCCTTGAAGCCGGAGTGCGACATTTACAACACACTCACTCTGATCACTTCCCCATTCTAATTTCACTGGATGCTGTAATTCCTCCTAGGCATACAAGACATTCCGTATGGAAGCCGCATGGTAAACTCACCCTCAATTCGAGACACTTGTTAATCAAACATGGAATTATACAAAAGGAGATCTTGGTGTGAGAATTGCTAGATTTTCAGAAGCAACCAAGCTTGGGCTAATGAAGTTTTTGGTAACATTTTCAACGGAAGAAAAGTCTTTTAGCTCGGCTCAATGGAATTCAAAAGTGGTTGGGGAATGGGCCTTGTAGATTCTTAGAAAACTTGGAGCGAAAATTGACTGGTGAATACAATAGAATTCTGCTACAATTGGTTTCAGAAATCAAGGGCCAAAAAGATAGCTTTAGGGGATAGGAACACTCGATATTTCCATACTTCAACCTTGATACGACAGAGGAGAAATAAAATCTTATCATTTAAACAATTGGATATAACTTGGTGCTCAGATAAGAACGACTTGAAGTCGATGGCAGTTAACTATTTTCGAGAGTTATACTGTGCAAATGGTGAAGAAAGGGAGGAGTTTGAGGTACCAACACATGCAATTCTCTCTAAGCATGATAAACAAGCCCTAACTAAGCCTATTAACCAAGAAGTTAAGAGGGCAGTATTCTCCAAAGGGGCTTTTAAAGCCCCAGGGCAGGATGGTATCCAAGCCTTGTTTTACCAAATTCTATCAACGTTTTTGGGATATTGTAGGTAATTCTGTGACAGAGACAGTGCAGAGAGCTATCATGGTAAGAAGATTACCAAGCGAAGTTAACAAGACTTTAATCGCGTTAATTCCCAAAGTTGAACATCCTGAGAATCTCGCCCAATTTCGCCCTATTAGTCTATGCAATGTGATTGTTTGGATCATCTCTGAAGTGTTGGTTGGAAGAATTCGCCCACTGCTATATAAACTAGTAAGCCCAACTCAATCAAGCTTTATTCCAGGGAGGCAAACTACCGATAATGTAATTATTGATCAAGAGGTAATACATTCTATGCATAAGATGAAGAATAACAATGGAGTTATGGCAATTAAGATTGACCTTCAGAAGGCATATAATAGAATTGATTGGTGTTTCCTTCAAAAGGTCAACACTAGAATGGGATTTCCACATAATTGGGTCTCCCTAATCCCCCATGAAATTAAGTCAGTGGAATTAGTGGTACTATGGAATGGTGAAAAAACTGAGTCCTTTAAACCTAGTTGAGGACTAAGGCAAGGGGACCGTTATCACCTTACTTGTTTGTGTTTTGTATGGAAGTTCTGAGTTTTAGTATTGAAGCTTCTGTTGCAGCTAAGAAACGGAAGCCATTAAATCCTGCGAGAAGGGGTCCAATATTGTCCCACTTCTCAGAAGATCTACTATTTTTTGGAGAGGCATCAGGAAAGAAAGGCAGAGGTCATGCAACAGGTTTTGCAACACTTGTGTGATATCAGGTCAGAAAGTTAATCTCCAGAAATTTAAACTCTTTGTCTCCCCAAATATTCATAGAGCTCGAGCTGGGAACTTGAGCATGAAATGTAATGTTCCATTGACTTCAGATCTTGGGCAACACTTAGGAGTTCCGTTGCTACCCTCAAAGGTCCGTAAAGACACTTATCAATTTGTGCTGGATAGAGTTTGACAAAGGCTTGCTGGTTGGAAAGCCCATCAGTTGTCAATGGGGGAAAGGGCCACTCCATTCCGGTGCTTGTTATGCAGACCACTAAGATATCTGCAGCTGTGTGTGAAGCGATAGATCGTCATACAAAAAGATTTCTATGGGGAGGGGACGAACAAAGACAAAAAAAAGCATCTTATTGGCTGGGAAAAGGTAAGCCAACCCAAGGAGGAAGAGGGGTTGGGGATTCGAAGAATGGTGGATGTAAATCTCTCACTTCTGGCCAAAACAGGGTGGCATTTGCTTAAAGAAGAATCTGGACTGTGGACACGAGTTATGAGAAGTAAATACCTCAAGAACAAGAAGAAGATTTGGGAGCCAGTAGCAAATACAGCCCCCTATACTTGGCATAGTCTTACCAAAGGAGGGCAAATACTGAAAAATAGTTTGAAGTGGAGAATCGGTAATGGTGATGAAGTTGAATTTTGGCTGGATACCTGGGTTGGTGATGTACCTTTGATCCAGGTGGTTATTAGAGCTGTGCCACCAGAAGATGTCAATAAACTAGTTAGACAATTTTGGGAAGATGGACAGGGCTGGAGGTGGAGTAGCTTACCAGCTTTGAGCAATTCCTTCCACCAGAAGTGGTTGATAAGATCCGGCCGACAACAGTATTGCCACAAGATGGAAATGTGGATAGGCAAATTAGGCAGCATACAAATCGTGGGAATTTTACAGTTGGATAAGTGTGTAGAATTATCAAACCAAGTGGGCAGGCATACAAGAGGGGAGGAGAAGCTTGGCAAACTATATGGAAGAGTAAAGGGTTACAGCGGTGGAAATGCCTTTTGTAGATTGTGTGGCATAACCAATTGTTAACGTATCATGTAAAATTTCGAAGACATTTATCTGCTACCGGTGGCTGCCCAAAGTGTGGTGCTCACAGTGAGACAACATTACATGCATTATGTGATTGCAAAGTCCTATGAAATATTTGGAAAAGGCTAGTTCATCCGAATAAACATCAGTCTTCTTTTGCTTGCCCTCTACAACAGTGGGTTGATGCGAACATGGCTGAGACATGTTGGGGCAGGGATATGGAGGATGATTGGGAACTATTATTCATGGGGACTATTGCCATGGTTTGGTTATGGTGGAACAAGTCAATTTATGACCCAACTTTTACTAATCCGGTAACAGATATTCAGGGTTTAGTGCATGAAGTGGTTTGGGCAAATGGAATAGCCGGTACTTTGAAGAGTGGTGATAGATGCGATGGATGGCAACCACCATTACCTGACTGGGTTAAAGTCAACACGGATGGGGCCTCCACAGGTAATCCGGGCGTAAGTATAGGCGGTCTTTTTAGAGACAGTGCTGGGTTTTGGATAGGAGGATTCAAACAATGGCTAGGTGGGGCTCATGCATTAACTGTGGAGTTATGGGTTATCTGGCAAGGACTACGACAGGTTTGGCAACAAGGATGTAAGAAAGTGGATCTTGAGACAGATTCCCAAGAGGGTATTGATCTTATTCAAACTCCAAATCCTAACCATCCGGATCATAATTTGGTTCTGCAAATTCGAAAGCTCTTCGAGGAGACATGGGTATGTCGGATGAAAGGGGTTCCTTGTGAAGCTAACAGTTGTGCCGATCAATTGCTCACGAAGCTATTCATGGTGATGTCCAATTGAGAATGGTGGCAATTCCGTCGTCACATATCAAGTAACTCCTTGCTCAAGACGCACCAGACTGGCATTATGCTAGATAGCAGCTTTGTTTTCTCTTGTTTGGCCTGGGCCACCTTTTGTAACTAAAATATATATATATATATGTTCACACAAACCCTACGATGACTTATGGCTGCCTATGCATGAGGAATAGTTTCACAAAAATGGAGACCCCAATTATGAAAGAAAACCCAACAAATGGGTTAAAAACATACAAAAAACCCAAGAAATAACCCCAAAAAATACAAGTGAGAAAGATCCACGCATGGTAGGGAGGAAAAAGGCACTTGGAAGTTGAATGATAGAGGAGAGATCGCACCTGGGGCGTAGAAACTCAACATACGGTTGGCATGGTACCTATATGGATAGATCATCAGAATAAGATGGATAATTACACAAAATTTCAATCAGATCAAGTGATCAAGCATCAAATTGAAGAAGGGAACAAAATAAGAAAATTAATAAAATGTTTCTATATATGTGTGTGTGTATATAAAAGGAAGGAGGACTGTACCAGGGGATGAAGGGGGTGGAAGCATCATCAGTTTTAATGATGTTATCGGGTATCCTCTTGTTGAGGTCTCGAAGGATCTCGGCGAGAGGGCGAGTGATACAGGAGGACTTGTCTAATGGCACCACATAATTGGAGTTTGGCACCGAAGCTGCTTTCTTATTATTATTAGTCTCGCTGCTGCTGCTGCTGCCGCCGCCATTAGCGAATACGCGCACCGCCGAAGACCCTCCTCCTCCCCGAGTGCTACTAGTAGTAGAAGTAGTACAGAGACGAAACTCCGTCCAAGTCCTACAGGAAATCCGGTGCCAGGAATAGGGTGTGACCACAGGGAAGCGAACCTTCGTTGATGGCATCGCCGGTTGGGTCAGGAAACCACCGCCCTGAACGGCCATATTTCGGCGACAAGAAAAGAGGACCTGGACTTCTCGAGCTAAAAATAATATAGTATTATGATATGAGCAGACCGGTGGGTGAACTTTACAGCCCCTGCCCGTCTTGCATTCTTATATATAGAGAAATCATAAATGCAGGGTAGCTGGAATTTTAGGTAGTACATGGTAGTACAATAATAGAATATTTTAACTAATATCTCGTTTGACAAGTAATATTTTTTTAATTAAAAAATTAAAAAATTATTTAAAAAATTAATAATTCATATTAAAAAGTTAAAAAAGGAAAATCTAATTTTCACATATCTTTTAATAAAAAGTAAAAAAATCATTTCAAACATACTGATTTTTTTTATCTCATATTTTAGTTAAATAACTAAAAAATTACTAAATTAGCATGTTTCCAAACGAGGCTTAAATATATTTTTTAAATATAATTTAAATTTTTTTATTATTATTAGTAATTAATTAATCAATTATTTTTTTCTTTCGTATTTCTCTCTCCTCTCTCCTCTCTCTTTTCTCCTCTCTCTTCTCATATTTTCTCACATTCTACATATTAAATAATTAAAAAAATTACAAATTTTTCAAAATTGTTTTCAAAACTCGTAATCAAATAAATTTTATTTTTTTAAATCATGATTCAAAAATTTAAAATTCAAAACATAATTTCATATTCAAGTCATAATTTTAAAACTAAACTAAATGAATATTTTTATATTTTTTATTTATTCCAAAATTATAAATAAGATAAGGATATAAAACATATAAACAAAACAATTTTGTTAACCTATGCTGTTTTAGCTCGGGTTAAGAAATTTTAAAGGGAGGAAAAAATTGATTTCTTTCTAGTGTTGTGAAAAATAGAAAAAATAATTTGACAGAAAAAAATAATTATAAAAAAGTGACAAATATTATAATTATTATTAATTAATATTGATAGGGCAAGGCCCAAGAGGTAGGAATGGCAATTTAAACCCGGCCCGATGGGGACCCGTTCCCCCGACCCCGATTAGAGTGGTTTTTTCTCGAAAAATACTCCCGACGGGCCGGGGATGGTATTAAAAAATAAATCCCCGGTAATTTTCGGGCCGGGAATGGTGATATATTTTCCAACCCCGGCCTCGTCCCCATTTTCCCCCCAACTATATAATATATATATATATATCCCTTTATATTCTTTTCCCTTAATATATCATGATGCTTTTCCTTTCTTTGCAATATGCTCGTCTCTCTCTCTCTCTCTCTCTCTCTCTCTCTCTCTCTCTCTCTCTTGCACCTCTCCTCTGTAAGCTATACCGCCACTGTTCGCTCTACCTCCATCACGACCTTCTCTCTCTCTTCCAGTCACCGCCACCTCCTCCGTTCCCTCCTCTCATCTTCGTCATCCTCCTCCGTCGTCCATGGTCGCCGATCTCCATCGTTCGTCTTAGTCACCATCGCAGCAGATCTCCTCTGTCTATCTCTCAAATCTGTATTGATGATACACGAAGCACACTCAGATGATCTCCTCCGTCGTCCTCTCAGATCCGAGTCAAATCTCATCACTTATGTATACATGTTTGTTTCTGTCAATTTTTTTTATTTTTTGATAGTTGATCTAGTAATGATTTTGTTGTTGTCGTTGAAAATGTATGTGTCTCTATGTTGTTGTTGATCTGTTTGATGATATTGATGATTTTGTGTGTGTGTGTCTCAAATCTGTGTTGTTAAAAATGTATATGTGATGTTGTTGAAACAAATTTAGGCCGGGAAATTTTCGGGGTCAGGGAAACCCGATCCTCATTTGGGGGCAGGGGCAGGGACAGGGAGGGTGATAGGTCCCCCGTCGAGGATCGAGGCCGGGGCATTTTTCACCATCGGAGATCGGGGACGAGGAGTGTGATCCCCGGCCCGGCCCGGCCCCGCCCCATTGTCATTCCTACCAAGAGGGCCCAACCCATAGTTGCTATAGGTTTCCCAAACAATTATTTGATTAGTTATCATAAAGTCCAGCTGAACAAGTCCAACACCAAACCCAATAGAGAACTCACAATAATCAAACCTAAGCACTAGCTGGACATGTGTCAAGCAAGAGCCTAGCCACGTGGCTGACAAAAGATTCTACAAAGATATTGAACCCATGCGTTAAGCCTTAAATGCGATTGTCAAGGCATTAAATACAATAAGACCTCTCACTCTGAGGCATAGTGAAATGGCCATGGCCAACGGCAAGCAGGTGGCAGACTTTCGACCAATGGGACAGCATGAATAGATAAGGAAATTATTAATAAGAGATATAAAGAAGCTTCTAAGGAACGTTTTAGTAACAAGTAATTTACTCTCTCTCTCTCTCTCTCTCTCTAAACTGTTATTACGACCACATCCTCATCTAATTTGATCATCGGGGGGTCCGTAGAAAGGAACCACCCCCATTTCAAAACCTTTCTACTGGACTTGTTACAAGTGTGATTAGGAAGACGAAGGACAGCCATCTCAGAGAGCTTGGATCAGTCTGACCCATTTCCTGCCGACCAGACTGCATTATCAGTTAGCGTCGTCTGTGGAAAATTACCTTAGTAGACAATTGTGTTCATTGTCGCCAGGAACAGTTTCTTCATCGCCCACCTTCTTCGTCGGAGTGAATGGTTATGACGAGATCCATGGCTTCGCAACATAATGCTGGAAACCCTCAAGCTGAGTCCTTTAAACCAAACAACTCACCTCCCTATTTTGCAGAACTTACTAACAGTAACAATTGCTTGGCTGAACAAAACCAAGCTCTGATTAACACTTTGCTCCAGCGTGATCTGCCTACTCTTCCTCCTCCTCCACCGCAAGACATTCATCCAAACCAAAAACAGACCCACCATCATCACTCATTCCATCCACATATGTCCCAAGGGCCACCTCTCTTATCCCTTGCACCACAAGCTCAGTCATTGAACCTAAAGGGCCTACATCTCCCTCCTCAGGGATCGCAGCTTCATCGGAGGAGCCTCAACTCTTCTATAATCATCATCCACCACGTCACGCTGTCGTTCATAAACGAGAAGCTAGCAGTGCAGTACAGTTGATCATTCAGAAAATAATCATAATTGAACATATCTTTACAACATTGTTACTCACAAAGCACTGGGCTACAGATAAGCTAATGAGCGTCCTCGGATGCCAACCTTACACAGTTACAAAATGAATACACACTAAGTTATGCACTAGGGAATCAATAACTTAACCCCTTATCTAGACTTGGTGTGGTTCTATAACATTATCCTTATTAAGATGCCTTAAATTTGGCCTAAGAATGCCTAGGATGGAATGAGGATGCCAAAATGCACTTTAAAACACTTTTCAAATTTTTACTGAAACATGGGTCTTGCTCGAGCATGGCTTTCTTTGCTCGAGCGAGCTTGCCAAAACAGAGGGGTCACTCAAGCGTGGATTTCTTCGCTTGAGCGGTCTGTAAAACTGCAAAAGTGCTGGATGTTGAAAATCCTCGCTCGATGCTCGCTCGAGGGTGAGACACAGTTCTTTACTCGAGCGTAGGTCTCGTCGCTCGAGCGTGCGTCTGCGTGCACCAAAAACCTAAGAGCTTGCAATCTACGCTCGAGCCAGGATTCCGTCGCTCGAGCGAAGCTCTGAACAAAACGATGGTCGCTCGAGCGTGAAATCCTTCGCTCGAGCGTGGAAGCCAAATTTGGAATTTCCAGATTTGCCTTCAAAGTTCAAACCAAGCATTCAACACATCAAAACTCAACCTTTTAGGGCAATTTTTTGGAAAACACTTGGAAACTCATACTACAACATGTTTTTGAAGATCAATTTTGTAAAATCAAGCCCAAAGGTAAGCCAATTGAACACAATTCAAAGAAACTGTCATGAACTAAGCAAGAATATAACATGCATGAGTTCTAATGGACTCCAATGCTCCAAATCATGATCAAATGTAAGATTGAGCTCAAAATCAAGGTGAATTCATGGACTACAACCAAAATATGGACTTGCATGTAAGAATTTCACGAAGAACAATTCCAAAATGCTAGAACATGTACATGCATACATGAAATCACTCTCAATTTAACACATTAAGCTAATCCTTGACTCAAATCACTAATCTTTCCATCAACCATGCAAGAAACAACTTCATTTCGTAATTAAGAAGGTGAATTCCTACCTTAGATCTTGAATTCTAGGTATAGAAGCTCAATTTTTGCAATCTCCTTCAATTTCTCCAAGTCTCCAAGCTAATTCTTGTTGAAAACAATTTTTTTTCTTCCAAGCCTCCCTCTCTCACTCGGTTTTGGTCTCAAGAAGATGAAGTGAAGAAAGATGCTAAACAATGTAAAGGGTGAGAGAAGTAGTGGCCTAGCATAATCCACTCAATGGCAAATTGGTAGTAAATTCAAATTAATGTAATTTAACTTTATTTAATCTAATTTAATCATTCCAAACCAAAAATTTAATTAAACCTACCATAAATCACATAAATTCTAATTAGCATAAAACACTAATCAATTTCTGGTTCGGTCGCCGATAAGACCTTCAATTCGTAGTTCAAAGTTAAAACATGAACAGATTCATTCAGTAATCAAACAGATAGAAATGCATTCAAAACAATACACTCATACAATCAGTTCAGAATTTCGTTCTTATCAGTTACTTATCATGCTTAATCATAGATTAGCACTAATCAGAGGTGAGGGTTGTCACAATCTCCTAAGGTCAAAATGTCGTCGATCGACACTTTTGGCGGTATAACTGATCCAGTCGACCACTTGGAAACATACAGGACGCTCATGATCCTCCACACTTTTTCTAATCAAATCATGTATCGGGCCTTCCCTGTTACACTTAAGGGGTCGGCGCGACTCTGGTTTAGTTAGCTCCAGCCAAACTCTATCACTTTTTTTAATCAACTGAGCAAATCCTTCTTGATCTATTTTATTGGTGCTCAGCATCAACGACGCCAAGCTACTCAGCTACTAAATATTCGACAAATGGAAGGGAAGTCACTGCATAGCTTTGTCACTAGCTTCAATACTAAAGCCTTACAGGTTGAGGAGAATGATAACAAGGTCATTTTAATAGCCTTCATGGCCGATTTCTAATTTCCTCTTTTCCCTCTCTAAAAATCTTCCGACAACTATGGTCATCCCCCTAACCAAAGCCTAGAAATATATGAACACTAAACATTTTTTGGCTACTCACTAATATTCTACATCCAAACCCCCACCATCCAAAGAAAAGAGAAAAGACCCGAGCCCAAACACTCTCAATTCACTTACCGATCTCCCTAATATTCCGACCGACCACCACGTTTCGACCGTTCGGCCCCTTCCTGTCCATCCGGTCATTTCGAGCGGTATACCCCTCTCAACTCACCCATGGAGCAAGTCTTAAACCAAATCCAACATAAATATAACTTGAAATGGCCCCAACTGTCACGACCCCAAACCGCCCCTAGTAGTTTGGTGCCGTGATGGCCAGTAATCCGAGATGCTTAACAAGTCATAATCATACAGATGCTCGTGAACATGACGAAGACATAAAATGTGGGTTCCTACACCAACCTTTAAAGTCTCCCTCTATCCGATGTGACCAGTCCAAATATTGTCGTTTCTACCGTAACTATGGCCATAACACCGATGAGTGCATCAATCTTAAGGACCAAGTTGAGGAATTGATCCGTTAAGGGCGTTTAAATCGGTTCACCACTACCCAACCCCACTAAAAAGCTAGAGTCAATCCCTCCGAGGCGAAACAGCAGACGCACTTCACCAAGACAAACCGATCAGCCTAGGTAAAATGATGATAGAGCCCAACAACAACTCCAAGCTCAAAGAGGACCTGCACCCCCATTGGGAGAAATTAGGGTCATTATAGGAGGACTTGTGTGTGGTGGACTATCTCAATCAGCACAGCGAGCCGAGCTCCGAAGAATCAGACAAGGGTCGAACAAAGAAGTAATGATGGTTAACCGACCCCATAAGTAGCCCAAATAGTGGTCGGAGTCGAACACCTTTACGGATGCAGACTGTACAGGAGTCCGATACCTTCACGATGACCTTCTAGTCATTTTCTCTCTTCTCTCAAACTACAAAGACAAACTTATGCTCGTCGACAATGGTAGCTCATTAGATATTATCTTCACTACAACAAATTTGGGATTTAAAGACGAAACAAATTTGTCCCAAAATGTTTATATTTCGTCACCCAAACTAATTACGACGAACATTTTTCGTCACCCATTTTGTCTCCAAAGGGTCGTCGCTAAAGGGTCTTAGAGACGAAAAAAAAATTTGTCATTGAAAATGATAAATTTGTGACGAATTTTTTTGTCTCCAATACACTTTGTTGGGAACATACTTGTAAGTAATTAGCGACAAAATATTTTCTCATTAAAGAAGAAATTAGAGACAAAAGTATTTTGTCATAAATATAAGAAATAGAGACAAAATAATTTTGCCACGTTTAATATAAACGAAGACGAAAATTTTTTGTCAAAGAAGCTACCAATAGAGATAAAAACAAATTCGTCATTAAAAATGATGAAATAATGTCAAAAAAAATTCGTCACACATTGAGGGTAATAGTGACAAAATGTGACAATATTTTTTGTCATGACAAATTCATTTAGCGACGAAATAAAGAATTTATGACAAAATTAATCATCCACCTAAGCCAAACAAGAGACCAAAAAACCTTCTTTAGGGATGAAAAATTTTGTCAATAATTTCATAATATTTTTTTCCACATTATATACCTATTTTATCAAAATCTAAATTTTAGTTCAACAAATATGACCCTGTTCATGTTGAAACCTGTTGAATATAACAATTCCATCACAACTTAACCTAACCTGTTATCAACACATTTACGAATTAACAAAATAAAAATATCCATTCATCATTACAAATAATTTCATCCTGATATAATAAAATAGTGAAATATCCACAAAATATCCAAAAGTTATAACTTGTTCAATTCCACCAAAAATCCAACAATAACTAGTGTAACTGTATGTGTATCCTTATCAAACAAAAATGAACATTCAAACAAACTACATCATTGTTGCACGTAAAAAATGCCACCCCAATCCAATCTGCAAAAAAATAAATTAAAAGTTTTAGTAATAAATCAATTATACAAAAGATTAAAAACATTAGCAACTCATCAATTTACAATTAGATCAATTATACAATTTATCCCTGTAACAGACTTGTTTTAGATTATGAGAACAAAAAATTAATTTTGAAGGCTAATTCACAAATGGTGCATCCCATTAATGTGCCGTAAGTTCATACAACTTATATTGGTCCCTCCTAAGGTGTTTCTATTGGTTCTTGTACAAATTTGTAATTGTGTGATAATTTAGCATTTCGATAGCCTTTTTTCAAGCTTTAAGTATAGAGAAAAAATATATATTTTTTAGACTAATTCACAATTTATACATCATGTGCACCTGTACAAATTGGATGTCATATGCATGTTTCCATTACTTCCTAATTCTTCAAACATGTATTCTTTTATACATGATCCCAATAAATTTCGGTTGAATGCTTGTTCCAGTACAGTAATCTTATGTCCTGGGATGTAATCAGACAGCATTAGGATTGCTAAGACCTGCAAAATTGCAAAAAATTTAAGAGCGTTGAATAGTTTTAATTAACAAAGAGTTCTCCATAACCATTGCCTATTTGATTAACACGGTGATAGGGAACAAGAAGAGATTGGACGAAGATTAAAGATTTATTTTGATGATATCTTCTTATTTATAATTTAATAGGTTTTATTGTTTTATTACTCTAATTATGATAGTTTTCTTTTTGGTTACTATCAAATAGAATTTTTTTGGATGCCTATAAATAGGTCTTTTATGTAATAGTTTCATAGACTATGATATTGAATTAAATTTTGAGATATTGAGAATAGAGAATTAGAGTTTCTTTTATGAGAAATGCTAAAGACCCACAATTTAAGTCCCACAATGATATGGCAATGAGATTGGGCCTTGCATGATTGAGTTTGTGACAAACAAAAAATTGGCACATAACTTGCCATATCATTGTGGGTAAATTGTAGATCTCAATCTTTTTCCTTCTTTTATTTTGTATGGCCTTTCTTTTATTTTCTTTTAGTTGTTCTATTCTCGCCAGTTGTCCAACATCATAAAGCCTTATTGCTTCTCACCTAAACATTGACTTCTATAAATAAAATCTGTAAATATAATAGAGAGGTTTAGGGCATTAAACTTTCACCAAAAAACTAATTAAAAATAATAATTCTAAGGTTTATTACTTCATAAGAATTTTATTTCAATGATTAATTCAACATATATTCAAATATAAAAACCAAAAGGCTAATAACTCGCAAAAGGAAAGCAATCCCAATCACTCAAATTAGCTTCTAGATAAACAAACAAACACAATGAATCATTGACACCGGATATACAAGTCAACAAAGGCAAAACCATCAGCTATGCTGGTTTCTCAACAAGTTGCAGAACAGATAAAACCATCATATTTGAGAAGTTATTAGCAGAAAGAAAAAAAGAGAATAACTTGGAGATTTTGAGCTAATACAAGAGTAACATAAGCTGCATTACACTGCAATAGAATTGCCCGTTAGTTTTAATAAAATTTTATATTTATAAATGAGAATTGAGATTTTCTTCTTCTTTTTTTTGGGGGGGTAAATATGTTTTTCTTCTTTGCTTCCAAAGAATAACATCATTCTCAAAAAAATGGTCTATTTATTACAAAAGTAATCAGAGCAATATGCCCTACCATTCTGCGTGAAACGCTTTCCACATGCCTGTCCAGAAGCATTGTTAATAACCTGTCTCATTCAGAAAAAATAAAAATAAAGATCAATTAACATGACAGCAGAAGATAATGAGATGACAAAGACTCCAGTAATAAAGATATATACCAAAACAAAAGAGATAGAATCCAGACTCTAATTGCTCATTTATTGGATCTCAACACTTGCTCAGATCAGAGTTACCAAAAAACAGATAGCTGCCCAATTGGACACCAATGAGATACATACCCCAATATCCTAACAAGAAAAACAATCAATTTCTTGGCAAAAACTTAGTATACCAATACAAGTTCACCTAAATATTATACATGATCCATTAAACAAAATGCAACCAAGAGAATTAAACTCACTATTACAATAAAGTCCTCAATTAAAAATTAAGGTTGCAAGTCAGGCCTGGTTGGATATAGACCTATGATCTGACAGGAACATTTTTTCTTTATTTTACAAGCCATTTCATTATTGAAGGCACCAAAAGGAGATGTTGTCCCAAGTATACACAACATATAGAAAATAAAAATAATGAAAATCCATACCAATGTATCCTTCTTATCACAAAATCGAAAAAGCTCTCCATGACCCAACCATGTAAAAGAATAATAAATAAAAATTTTAAAAAAAATAAAAATAACTCTTCTTAATCTACATATCAGTTCTTTATCTTCACCTAATTTATTTTATTTGCATACCAACATGTACAAGGCAAATGTGATCCAATATTTCACAGAGTATTTGAGGAAGTCTAAAACAGTATTTCAGCAAACCCAAGGAAAGACAATCAATCTCATAATAAAAACCATACCATCCTAGCCACCCCACAGCGGATGAGAAGATAGTCCACGGACTCCATGCCTCTTTGATCATACAACAGAAGTTGGGGAAATATATTTCCTATTCTTATCAAATAATGCTTCGACTTCAAAACCAATATCAATACCTCAGTCACTCTTTTTTTTTTTGGGTGAATACCTCAGTCGCTTACCGCCGCTGCTGCTCGCCTTTCACTGCTGCTCGTAGTAGTCGCCGCCGATCAAAGGATCTAGGGTTAGGGTTTGAAGAGAGAAGAGTGAGAGATGGGTTTGGAATATCAATATCAATATGAATTGAATTGTGTTAGTGTTGTGTCGGGGGGCTGCTTAGTACTGCGCAATAAATAAATAATAAAAAAAAGTTATAGCTGGTTTGAATTTTTACAGATCAGAGCATAGAAAATTATTTTATATAAAATTAAAATTAAAAAAATACATACAATCACACTTATTTAAAAAATATGATTAAAAAAATATATATAATCACACTTATTTAAAAAGTGATATTAAAAATAAATATTATCACACTCCCTCAAGTCAAGTGTGATTAAAATATCAATTTAATTTTTTTTTATCACACTTCTAATAAAAGTGAGATATTTTTATTTGTTAAAGTGTGATCTTTAACTGTTTTTGTAGTACTTATGAGGTAATTCTTAAAAATAGAGATATACAATCCCAACTATGCTCAGTCTAGTGTTCACTTCATGCTCGAAAAAATGACCTAGAAGAGAGAACTATACCTGGATGTTGGAGAGAGATTTAGAGACGCCGATGTTGTCATCGACAGGGAGTTACCGCCATTGCTAGAGAGTGAGAAAATGGGGAGATCTATAGACGTCGGTCTACGAGAGAGAGAGATTGTGAGCGTCTGCGAGAGCGAGAGAAGAGAATGAGAGGAGGAGGGTTACCTATACACGCTAGTGTTGTCGCCACAGAGAGAGAGAGAGAGAGAGAGAGAGAGAGAGAGAGAGAGATCTCGCCTTGTGATGAACCCTACCTTCTACTTTCCTTTTAATTAGAAGTAGCCAAAGAGTTAAATGTATTTTGAATTTTTTTTTTTAATTTGCATTTTGGTGTTGGGGCTTTTTAAAAAAATAAAATAAAATTGGAAATTGTATATTTTATATAAAAATCAATTTGGAATATTTTATAAAATCACACCTATTTAGGGAGTGTGATTAAAAAATAGTAATGTATATATAATCACACTTTAATTAGAACGTGTGATTAAAAATATATATATAATCACACTTAATTGAAAAGTGACATAAAAAATAAATATATCACATGTTAATTAAAAAGTGTGATTAAAAAATGTATATATAAAATCACACTTAATTGAAAAGTGTAATAAAAAAATATATATGTAATGACACTTAATTGAAAAGTGACATAAGTGTGATTAAAAAATATATATATAATCACACTTATTTAAAAAGTGTGATTAAAAAGTAGTAGTATATATATAATCACACTTTAATTAGAACGTGTGATTAAAAATATATATATAATCACACTTAATTGAAAAGTGACATAAAAAATAAATATTATCACACTCAATCAAATTAAGTGTGATTAAAATATCAATCTAATTTTTTTTATCACACTTCCAATAAAAGTGAGATATTTTTTTTTTATTAAAGTGTGATCTTTAACTATTTTTGTAGTAGTGGTTACACATGCAACATATAATTACGAACCTTTCAATTTAACAATTACCTTTCAATCCGGTACATCCATCGATAAAACTATTTGAATAAAAAAAGGTAAGAAACTTAAAATTTAAATATGGTATTTTCATTTAATCTGAAAATAATTCTAGATGAACAATAAATTATCACCTATAACTTTTTTTTTTTAAATAAAAAAGTTTAACAAACTAAAAAAATCAACGTTTCTTTCTAATTTATTTTAGTAAAACTAACTTTTTAACAATTTGAGCCAAAGATATTCTTATTCTTTATTTTAATTTCTTTAATTGACAATTGAAATTAAAAAAAAAATAAAATCCACCATGTTTGGTAAGTACTAAAAAAGTTATGTTTTGTTCTTTTGTGAAAAAAAAATAAAATTATATTAAAAAATATTATTGTTCAAGTCCTTATAGTTTAGAAGGACATAATTTTTTTTTATAAAATTTAAAACCAAAAAAAAGAAAAAAATTTAATAGCGATTAATAATTTGAACACGTGTATTTAAATTAGAAAATTAAAAAATTAGAAAATTAGGATTGGGATATTGGAGCTCTCACAAGCCTTGGGGGTTAAAACCCCATTTTGCTTAATATATAGTATAGACTAGCCTATCACCCGTGCTATGCACGAGATAATTATAGATATTTATATTTGTTTTAGATTTTTTTTAATATATAAATTATGTTTTTTAATATTTTTTATAAAAAATAATTTAACAAGTTGATCACTAACCATAATATACGTGAAAAGTTGAAAAGGGTACTGTAGTAACTATACACGAATTATATCTATAATTATTTGTATGAAGGGATTTTAAATGCTGATCAGGAGATTTTGACCAAATCAATAAATGCAGGCATGTGGAAAGACATGTGGATTGAAAAAAGTTAATAAATACTGATCAGGGAATTTTGACCAAATCAATAAATGCTGAGTTTTTTTTTTTAAATAAAAAATAAAAAATTTAGAAAATTCAGATTGGAATATTGAAGCTCCCACAGGCCTTGGGGGTTAAAAACCCCCTTTTGCTTAACACGGAACTAGCCTATCACCCGTGCTATGCACGGGATAATTATAGATATTTTATATTTGTTTTAGATTTGTTTTAATATATAAATTATGTTTTTTAAGATTTTTTATAAAAATAATTTAACAATCTATCACTAACCATAGTGTATGGGAGAAGTTAAAAGGGGTACTGCAGTAACTATACATTGATTGTATCTATAATTATTTGTATGATGAGATTTTAAATGCTGATTAGGAAATTTTAACCAAATCAATAAATGCAGGCATGTGGAAAGACATGTGGGTTGAAAAAATTTAATAAATGCTGATCGGGGGATTTTGACCAAATCAATAAATACTGAGATTTTTTTTAAATAAAAAATAAAAAATTTAGAAAATTCATATTGAGATATTGAAGCTCTCATAGGTCTTGGGGGTTAAAAATCCATTTTTGCTTAATATATAGTATAGATAATATATAATATAATATATATATATAGATTATAAGATAAGAGAAATAAAGTGCTATCTTATTATAATGGATGAGATCTTATAAAAAAAACGTGTAGACATTAATGCCCTCCTATTTTATTGTGTTTACAATTATCTATATATGTGAATTGTGATTTTTAATTTTTTTTTAAATGTCCTCTTTTTTTCCTTTTTTATATTATATTAAAGTTTAATATTTTGATAATAATCATATGTGTTGGACTTTTCAAGGAATTAAATGTCTTTTTTTTTATATATTATATTAAAGTTTAATATTTTGATAATAATCATATGTGTTGGACTTTTCAAGGAATTAAATGTCTTTTTTTTATTATATTATATTAAAGTTTAATATTTTGATAATAATCATATGTGTTGGACTTTTCAAGGAATTAAATGTCTTTTTTTTATTATATTATATTAAAGTTTAATATTTTGATAATAATCATATGTGTTGGACTTTTCAAGGAATTAAATGTCTTTTTTTTATTATATTATATTAAAGTTTAATATTTTGATAATAATCATATGTGTTGGACTTTTCAAGGAATTAAATGTCTTTTTTTTATTATATTATATTAAAGTTTAATATTTTGATAATAATCATATGTGTTGGACTTTTCAAGGAATTAAATGTCTTTTTTTTATTATATTATATTAAAGTTTAATATTTTGATAATAATCATATGTGTTGGACTTTTCAAGGAATTAAATGTCTTTTTTTTATTATATTATATTAAAGTTTAATATTTTGATAATAATCATATGTGTTGGACTTTTCAAGGAATTAAATGTCTTTTTTTTATTATATTATATTAAAGTTTAATATTTTGATAATAATCATATGTGTTGGACTTTTCAAGGAATTAAATGTCTTTTTTTTATTATATTATATTAAAGTTTAATATTTTGATAATAATCATATGTGTTGGACTTTTCAAGGAATTAAATGTCTTTTTTTTATTATATTATATTAAAGTTTAATATTTTGATAATAATCATATGTGTTGGACTTTTCAAGGAATTAAATGTCTTTTTTTTATTATATTATATTAAAGTTTAATATTTTGATAATAATCATATGTGTTGGACTTTTCAAGGAATTAAATGTCTTTTTTTTATTATATTATATTAAAGTTTAATATTTTGATAATAATCATATGTGTTGGACTTTTCAAGGAATTAAATGTCTTTTTTTTATTATATTATATTAAAGTTTAATATTTTGATAATAATCATATGTGTTGGACTTTTCAAGGAATTAAATGTCTTTTTTTTATTATATTATATTAAAGTTTAATATTTTGATAATAATCATATGTGTTGGACTTTTCAAGGAATTAAATGTCTTTTTTTTATTATATTATATTAAAGTTTAATATTTTGATAATAATCATATGTGTTGGACTTTTCAAGGAATTAAATGTCTTTTTTTTATTATATTATATTAAAGTTTAATATTTTGATAATAATCATATGTGTTGGACTTTTCAAGGAATTAAATGTCTTTTTTTTATTATATTATATTAAAGTTTAATATTTTGATAATAATCATATGTGTTGGACTTTTCAAGGAATTAAATGTCTTTTTTTTATTATATTATATTAAAGTTTAATATTTTGATAATAATCATATGTGTTGGACTTTTCAAGGAATTAAATGTCTTTTTTTTATTATATTATATTAAAGTTTAATATTTTGATAATAATCATATGTGTTGGACTTTTCAAGGAATTAAATGTCTTTTTTTTATTAGGTAGAATTGGTTCAGACAATGAGAAAAAGTGCTTATGCAAGGGGCGCCTTCACTATGAGAAAGAATAGTCGGTTTTGCATAGGGTGCCTTTTTGGATAATAGCTTCAATACTGGCATGCATGAAGGGCTTAAGTGTGAG